GCACCAATATCCACTTTAATGATATCACCTCGTGCAGCTCTGATAATTCCTAATACCTTATCACCTTCTTGCGGTATATATCTGCAAATGTTTCAAATTAGAATTACTTCTGAAAGAAGTCACATCAACTAATACATTGACAAATTGACATTTCAATACATATGAAAGCTTATCAAAATCTGGACGAAAAGACACTTAAAAGAATGGAGTAAACATTTACATTATCATCACAAAATTGCTGGTTGTAGAAACCCACCAAAAAATAAATGCGAAGAAAAATTATTTATAAGTACTGTAACCAATAAATTGACCTATTCGAATATACGGCAACCCATCGTTTCTGGCCGGATGTTTTTATTAAACCCGGCTGAATTACTCGCATTTTATTTGGTTCATTGCTCTCGGCTTGCAAGCCCCGTCCTATCACCTGAAATTAATCTTGGTTTCAGGTGCAGCTGAACAGTTACATGGAACCACTGAAATTAGATGTATTCTTTCATGCTTAGAGTAATCGACGGGTTTGAAAAATGAGAAATGCCGAAGCCTTACGATAGCCTGCTAGTGTGAGTGACACAGCAAGACAAACATGCAACGAAATAATCTGTAAAGCAAGCGTCACCACAATTAAAAAAAAAAACGGCAAAAAACGGTAAATAAAAACCTTTGGTTCGGTGCTTTTTTTCGCATCAATATCGATGAGATCACCCGGAAGACAAATATTTGTCATTATATAACTTATGACAAACTTTGATTTCAATACGAAAATAACCAAGACTTCGATCCTTCAAAAAGGAACTATATTTGACGGTGTGGGCTGAACCGGACAATGGGCGTGTGCCAAACCAGCATGAAGACAGAGAGAGAGCAACGCACATCAACGGTTTTCACACCTCTAGAAGCAGAAGAGATCCCGTAACAAACACATAAGTGAATGTGTTTGCGATGGAGAGAGAAGATGGATGGACAATTGGTGCGATTGAAGGATTCGAGGAAGCACTATCTTGAGCCGTGCACATTCACACTGATCTGCAATTGTGTAGTGTTACAGTAATCACTACAGTTATATTACCATGATTAATAAGCTTACGATAATAATCAAAACGTATTATAATTATTATAAACTACGATGAAGTCTTCACTAGCATCATTCAAGCACCCTTTAACAAACCGAAGTTAAACGATCTGTAACACAATAATAGAGTGAGAAGCGAGCAGAGGAGGTGAAGGTTTTAAGTTTCAAGACGTCTCATCATGTAATCATTCCTTCAAAAATTCTGAAAACAAAATTTCTGTAAAGAGCAAGAAGAAGACATGTCATAAGAAGAAAAGAAAGTAAAATCCTTTTTTTAAATTTCCTACTAAACTAATATTCAATCTTTCTTCAACTAAAGTAATATCAATCCAAAAAATCTCATTTTAAAAACCTACGAAGCAAAATTTCCGGGGAATCGTTCTTTCAGAAACCTACGTAGTGATTCTTTCAAGAACTTCTGATTTTAAAACTCCAAGCAATCTTTCTTTCCGAATTTCCGAAACTAAAATATCTAAAAAATCATACTTTCAAACTTATGAACACAAAATTTTCGAAAATCTTTCTTTCGAAAACTTTTCAAATATCTTTTTCGAAAACTTCTGATTAAATAATTCCATGGAACCTTTCTTTCCGAAACTGAAATGTCCAAAAAATTTTACTTTCAAAGCTTAGGCAAATAAATTTTGTCGAAAGTCTTCCTTTCGGAAACTTTCGAAATATGAACAGGTTTGCTCGAAAACCTCGTAAATACTTCGAGTTATAACGTGCTGTGCTCTGATTGAAAAATTTGTTGAAAAATGATGTAGGAAAATCTTTACTGACGTAGAAATNTCCGAAGAATTCAATGCTGCATATGTTTTTTTTCGATGCTGAATATGTGTTTCCTGAGATGCAGCCAATTTGCTAATTATTCACGTGCATTTTCTCTTATAAATGTTCCATGGAAAATGCTAAGAAAGAACTGTTCAATGAGGACTGTTTTGCAATGTAACGAGTTTTTTGCACTCAACGAAACAAATCTCTCAGCAAAAACATTGAAAGGTCGTTATATTGAAATGTACGATACAATGTTGTGTGATCAAGCAATAACGTACAATATGAAGTGAGAGGAAAAAATTAAAGAAACGAATAAGAACAAAAAAGTCTGCGATTGAGGAAATTTGATCATGCCTACGTATTTTGGGAAGGAAATTCGAGGAACGTTCTCATTCGGCTATTGGAAGGCGGTGAAGAGTGGTTGACAGCAAGTAGGGACAATGCCGTCTGAGGGTGTATGTTTATTACTATTGTTAGTTTTTGCGATAAAAAACAGTACTCTTAGTTTTTTGAAAGGATGAATGATGCATAGAAGATGATAATTTCTACAAAATTGATATTGATGTAATCATTTGTTCGCATTACTTATCACTTGCAGCGAGAATGCATTTCAATTCACATTGGCCAAGCTGGTGCGCAAATCGGAAATGCCTACTGGGAACTGTATTGCTTGGAACATGGAATCAGCAAAGATGGAAGAATAGTCAAGGATCCAAACTCGGAAAAGAAATCAGATAATCAGGTTTATTTGCACTCTGTTTCCAGAAGTATGAGCAAGGCTAAGTGCGGAATCACCGGATGAAGTTAACTGGTTTTAAGAGTGCTAAATTTCGTGTAAAACAGCTTGCTGAATAGAAGCTTTATAATCAACAATGTTGTAATTCATTATTCAAATAACGTTGTAAACATTCCTCTAGCTCAGTGCTTCTCACGCTTGGGAGCTCCACTGCCCCCTTCAATGGTCTGGCTGGCCGTCAGTAATCCTCTTCACCACTACAAGAACATACTGTTTCCACGAATGGAGTCTTGGAAGACAGTTAAAAGCAACAACATGCCTAAGTATCTCATTCACAAAGATGAAAACAATAATTTTCAATTTAGAATCCCACAACACATCCACCACAGCGTAATACACATTTCAGTTACTTCGTTGAAAAAAATTTCATTCACAAACCAAAAATCCCATTATATGCAGCAGTTAAAAAAACTTACCAAAACTTTTCACTGCAACAGAATTATAATAAATACTCTTTTCTGTACTAAAGAACCCAATCAGTTTGTATTGCTTACGATAGACGATGTGAGTCAATATATTAAAGAATCTACTGAATACTTGCAACTACTTCAAACTGAACTTTGTTCAGGCCTAGACGAACTAGAGATACTTAGAAAACAGGATGAAGAAGAGTGTTGCCATGGGCAAACCGCGTTTAGATACCTAAGTGAAAGAACACCACCACAATGGCGTTCCATCATAGCGTAACAACTGCACGGTGTATTAGTTTGCCGACCCCCTCAATCACCCCTTGACACCTCAAAATACCTTCAGGTGGTAAGTTACCTCCTTACGAGAATCACTGCTCTAACTGTTCCCTCACTTGCCGTGTGCAAGGTCGTTCGCGTAGAACGTTGAATGTTAGCGTAGTTTGTTATTAGCCGTTACCAGTTAAGAAATTAAACTCAGTTGATAAAACAAAAGCGGTTAATCGTTCAACATTTCGATTCCTAACTCCATCTTTGCAATACGAGAATCTTACGGAGTTACCCTCCACCACGTACCCCTATGACAGCGGCAGACGTTGGAACGTTGATCCTTTCATGATAAATATTCCAATATGCGCATATAAATATTCTAATTTTGGAAAGTTAGTAAAATACTACGAATATTCTAAGTCAATATTCACAATCAGTATAAACGATGCGAACAACTGAGGCAACAGAACTTGTTCGTGTATAATAAATTTTGCAACGACATTGTTTAATGACCGCTTGCTAGAATGTACCGCAATTGTTGCACGATATAATATCATCACGTCTGAGTTGATGGTACTTTACTTAAGCTACTCACTAATGCCTGATTTACAGTCAATAAGCACATTCTTTACGGAAGCATCATCTGAGAAATACGTTCCACGAGCGATTTACGTTGACTTGGAACCAACTGTACTGGGTACGTTTTCTCTTCCGTTATCTCTAGAACAGTCTAAAAGACTATCCAGCAACTTCGCGATAAAAATCATTTGATG